GTGCCCAGGGCAGTGCCAGCGGGGCACAGCGGGGTGATGGTGTCACAGCTCACATCCCTGTGCCAGAGGGTGCCAGGGGACCTGTTGTGCAGCATCACTGTGGGCCCTGAGGGGCTGCAGCCTCTGTGCCGTGATGGGGTGGGTGCTGGGAGCTTTGGGGGCTGGGGAGCAATCCAGCACTGCCCATCCCATCCATCCATGGCATGGCACAGCCACAGCCTCTCCTCCAGGGGCAGCTCTGACCTCCGTTTCCTTTATTCTGTACGTTCACTGTGTGCTGCTTGATTTCTATTGCAATTTTTTATTATAACTTCAACCTGTTGAGCATCTCCAGGAGTGACTCCAGTGGCTGCATTCCAGCACAGAGGGGTTTCTGTATTTTTATCCTCAGTGTGAATTATGCAAGTCCCTGCCTGGAGTTTAAGTGCCTTTAAGGATCCGCACCGGGCGTTTTGTCGGATGCTGCTGTCGAAGGCAGCAAAACCACTCTCATGTTCTGCATTTAGACCTTCTGTATCTCCCATTTTACTGCTCTGCATTATTAAAATGGAACAGGCCATCTGTGGAGCAGCTTCTGGTAAAAAGAGTGGGAAGCAGGAACTTAAAAACCTGATGGGAAGAAGCCATCGACGCAGGCAGAGGGATTGAGTTAAAGAGCCAATCGCGATGGAAAGCTGAAATAACAGCTCAGACAGGAAAGGGGGGATGGCTTCAAACTGCCAGAGAGCAGCCTTAGATGGGATATTGGCAAGATATTCCTCCCTGGGAGGGTGGGCAGGCCCTGGCACAGGGTGCCCAGGGAAGCTGTGGCTGCCCCTGGATCCCTGGGAGTGTCCAAGGCCAGGTTGGACGGGGCTTGGAGCACCCTGGGCTGGTGGAAGGTGTCCCTGCCCGTGGAGGCAAGAGGGGTCAGGGATGGGGATGAGCTCCCTGTGTGTGTCCAGGTGAATCCCACCCTCAGCTGAGGATGGTGGCAATGAAAATAGCAAATAGGAGGGTTTTCATTTTCAGTTCAGGGTTTTCTGCTGTTGATATTGATGTTTGTGGGAGGTCTCTGAGAGCAAGAGGTGCCTGAGGGCTATGAAATGTAGCATAATGAATAATAATATAGTTGTATATTAACCTTTCTATGAGAGCACTGCCTCAGACACCACCTGGGTCATGATCCCATTGCTGTGGCAGCTGTATAATTTTATCAAAGTGATAAGGATGATACTTAGCCAATATATCTCCATTTCCCTAATAGAAGCTTTAGAGCTTCAAATCCCAGATTGGCCGAAGTGTGGCAAGTGGAATTTCCTCTGTATGTGATTTATGTCATGGATATAAAAAGCCAAATGTGACATCAACTCAAATACCCTTTTTCACAGTTATAACCAGAAATTGTTACACAAAGAAAACAACTGCAAAGCACTTTTATGGCATGATGGAAGTTAATAAAATCATTTGTATTGTGGCCTTTTTGCTGAGTAAGAAGGTCAAGGAAATATCTGTATATTGTCTTAATGGCTCCATAACACCCTGTAGTGTGTGGCTTGGGCAACATCATAAAATCTGCAAACAGACTTGCTATCTTAAAATTGATCCTATCATTCCAACATAATGCTTTCATCCCAGATTTAATGCCAGTAAATGAAACTGTTTTGGGTTAAATGCTGGGAAAACTGGGAAATTGTTTGATGCCAACTCATTTTGGTATCAATAATTGTAGAAAGGGATGGTTTACTATCTGGGTAGCTAAAATTGGTATAACTGACAGTCTGTAGTGTGGTCAAGGGCCTCGTGGGTCTCCATCAGCCCCTCCCTGCTGTTCTTCCTGAAGATACTGGGACTGTCACTTGGCTGCTGCTGCTTCCACTGGTGCCAGTTCAGCGCTGGAGCACCTGCTTTGATCTTTATTTTCCCAGTCCACTGTTCTTCTCTGGGGGGCCCCTTGCTCTGCTGTGCAGCCCCCTCTCTCCTGCAGCCTGTCCTTTCCCTGGGGATGTGTTCCTGAACTTTCCCCAGCACAAATCCCTCCTGCCAGGCTCCCCCTCCCCGTCCCTGGTGCTGCAGCCTCCATCAGCCTCCACAGCACTTACAGTTCCTGGGGCCACCCCTGCCAGGGAGCTGAGCCTGGCACTCTCAGCCAGCACATGGGCATCACATGGAAGGAGAGAGGCAAGATTAATGTGAGAAATAAATCACTTGGGTCTTTCTGTTTTGTGGGAGGAGGGGTAAATAGCAACCACACCCCAGCAGGTCTTACTTTCTGGTTGATAATGGAGATGGTCCTCTAAGCATTCCCAGCCCTGCAGTGCTGTAACATCCTTCCTCCTCAGTGATTCCCGGTCTGGGAGGAGCTGAGAGGTGTCTCAGGGTGTGGAGGGCTGGGAATGTTCCCCAGGCAGGGTTGGGTGCTGGCACTGTGTGTCCAGGCTGTAAATGTAGGATAGAACACCCAGATCAAATGTGACCTGACTCCAGCCAGCTGGGGATGGGCCATTCCCATCTCCTCCTCCAGGAATTTCTATTTTCAATCCCTCAAGCACTGCTGATCCCTCCTGTCCTGATCAAAGGGGATGGCACCCCCTGAGAGCAGAGGGAAAACAACCACGAGCACTTGTCCCTTGTCTGGGACAGACCCTCTATGGGGCTTGGGATCAGGTCCCTTTCCCCTTCTCCCCCTCCATGCTCCTCCTTTTTTTCCTTTCAGTCTTTCATCACTATGTAGCTCATGTACATATTTATCCTGTGGTGGGAGATAAATGAACCCATTAGGCAGTATCATCTCTCTATGTGTAAAAATAATGATTTAATCAAATCATGGTGATTTGAAGTAATAAGAGATTCATTTTAATTTGGAAAATCTCATAAAAGAACTATCTATATCTCTTAGATGTATTTGCTGAAAAAGTAATTTGCTAAAGTATGAAATATGGAGAGCATTGGGGAATCAGTAAATCTTGTCACACCAGAGAAGTACTTGGCCGTGTACAGGGGTAAGAAGAGATTATTCCTACTTTTGCATTAAAGCATCCAGCTTTTTTGGCTGGGTCATCTAATTCCTTGCGAGACTCTGAACCCAGAACTCTGATATTTAGCACTCTGTGTGTAAGTTGTCTTCATGTTGTCAGTTCAGAAAGATTAAGATTAAGCACAGGCTTAAGTCTGTTGTTGCTGCAGAGAACATGCTTGCCTGTATTTCAACCTGAGTGTTTATGAATCATGTTCATTCCTAAGGGTATCTAAAATTAGAGATGCACTGGAGGTGTCCCTGTGCCTCAACCCCCCTGGCACAGATGGTGCTGGCAGGACAGGGCTGTGGGAAGTGTAGGAATGGTCCTGGCTGGGGAGGGATTTCAGAGCTGTGGCCGCCCCAGCCCTGGCAGTGTCCAAGGCCACCTGGGCTGGTGGAAGGTGTCCCTGCCCAGGGCAGGGGTGGCACTGGATGGGCTTTAAGGTCCCTCCCAACCCAAACCAGTCTGTGATTCTTGGTCCTGAGTATGTTGGGAAGGAGGGCAGTTTACCAAGGGGTTGTCTTTGGAGGTCTCCCCCAGGACCTTGGCTCTGTGGGAGCAGCAGTGCTGGGATCTGCAGCACAGCCAGGATGGGAAGGGGTTAACAGGAATTTGTCCAGCTCTGAACTGTCCCACTGCCACTCACTCACCTCCTTGTCCTGATCAATAGGAAATCATGGTAAAAACTGTTCCCTCTTTAATAGGGATCCATTTTCCTCCTTGTGAATGCAGAGGGATCATTACAGCAATCAATGGGAATGTTGTTATTTGTTATTAAATCTGTAAAGGTTTAGAGTAATTCATATGGAATTTTATTACAGTTTTATCAAGACTCATTGATTTTACCTTATTCAGTTAGAGAGCCCTTTTCCCAGAGGTCAGTGGCTTTGGCACGTGGGGAAGGTTCCTTGTTTCTCCTTCTGAGCCATTTGTATGTTGTAGATCTTATGACTGAATATCTCCTTTGAAATGCTTGTTTAATTATGAGTAAAACTACTACATGCAGGTTTGCAGGAAAAAAACACTTCAGGTTGTGTGCTCTTAAAACCTGATGATTTTCCAGATATTCTTCTGACCCACCTGACCGTGAATATTTTCCTTAGGAAATTTTATCCAAAAACTGGTAATTGTGGAATGCCAGACTGGTTTGGGTTGGAAGAGCCCTACTTTTAATGTGATAAACTGCGTCATTTTCTGTGGAGGCTGCAGGTAGAATGTAACTTGCTTTCAGCCTGTTACTGTAAGGCCCCAGTACTGATTTCCCTGGTTTGATTTTGGGAGGTGAGGTGGGGTTGTGTCTTCTGAGCTTGGGATGTGACTCGTGAACAGCAGACTCAGCATTAGAAAAATACGTGTTATGGCTGGGTCAGTGGTACACAAAGCTGAGAGGAGGAGGTGGATTGACCCCATTCTGCATCCCCTTTCCACTTTTAAAACATCTGGATTTGTGCTGCCTGTTTTTCTGCCCAGGGGAGGAGTGCTGTGCCAATTTGCTGATGCCATATGGCTCTCCTCCGGCTCAGTTCCACCGTGAGCTGTGCCAGCTTGTGTCACTCTGCCCACCTATGGCACTGAGGGAAATCACTGACTACAGTGGCAGCAACTTTTTCCCTCTTTCAATGGAATATGTATTTACAGCCATTTCTAACTGCAATCCTCAAAGGACCCCTGTGATGATGCAATAGAGAGGCACAGCTGCTCCACGTTATTTATTTTCATTCCTTATTGGTGGATACCTATTCCATGCTTTTTTTTCCCTTATAACTCTTATCTATATTAATCTGTTTCCCATTTATCTTACCCAGTTTTGTACCTGGCAGTCAGAAACAGAGTCACTTCCCTGCAAGATGCAGCTGATAAGAAAATGTGCAGTGGATTTTCTTTCTTTCCAGGGCCAGAGCCGTGGCACATGCTGGGTATGGAGGAAGACACAGCCAGAGTGTTTGTTTTCCAGGCTGCTGCACGAGCCAAAGCTGAGCTCTCCCCTCTCTCCCTCCCCAGGGTTCGATGCCTATTTTACCTCCCGCACCCTGGAGAACAACAGGAGGAACGTGTGGTTTGCAGAGTACTGGGAGGAGAACTTCAACTGCAAGCTGACCATCACTGGCTCCAAGAAGGAGGACACGGACCGCAAATGCACAGGTAGTTCATCCCTGCCCCTCCTCGTGCGGCAGGATGGGGCAGCAGGGGGATAACTGCCCGGCTGGAGGAAGGTTGGGGAGGGAGGTTAAAACAAATTGCTTTTTTGTAGGTTGTAGAGAAACTGGAACTGCAGCATCAGCCTTACAGAGCAGCAGAGGCTTCAAGAGGAGATGGAAAGAGTCAAAACTTACATTCTTCTATTTTTTCCTGTTTCTGGCTGTCCATCCAGCAGGAAAAGGAATATTTTCCATGGGACACAGAAGTACTTTTGTTTGAGTTCAGGGTGGCTGGAGGGTGTTTTCTTGGTTTGTTTTAGATGGAGAATCTTTCACAACAATTTAGGAGGAAAGTCTTGGCTGGGAGGGTGGGCAGGCCCTGGCACAGGGTGCCCAGAGAAGCTGTGGCTGCCCCAGCCCTGGGAGAGTCCAAGGCCAGGTTGGACGGGGCTTGGAGCACCCTGGGCTGGTGGAAGGTGTCCCTGCCCATGGCAGGGGGGCTGGAATGAGATGGTCTTTAAGGTCCCTTCCCACTCAAACCATTCCAGCATTCCTTGTTTCTATGACTAAAAGACTGTGGAGAAGCTTTGGGCAGAAGGTACCTCCTGTGACACACAGGGCAAAGCCAGAGGTGCCATCTGATGGGTGCCTTGCCCAGGCCTTTCCTTCCCTCTCCTTTTAATTCCTCCCAGCAGCAGTTGAAATGTGTTATGTTGAATAATTGCTTTGAATTTTGATCAAAGGGAATCAGTTCATTGGAAGATTTGTTTTACTTTGAAAGTGGATGGTAACTTCCCATACTTCATCTCACCTGCTTTTGGTTCCAACTCACAGGGGGAGTGGGAGTGTTGAGCATAGAAACAGTGTAGCTCCCACTGCTCTCAAATTTGACATTTGGAGTCTCCCCAAAAGGCTGGAATTTAACTAAACACTGCTCCAAGATCTTTAGGATCATTTCTGGAAGTGCCTGGTGCCCCTTACTGTTCATGCCATGATTTGTTCCTGTTGCTCACAGCCCGTGTTGTCTGATGTGGCTGTAACTGTTGTTCTTTCCCTCAGTGTAGATTGGGCACAAACATCTGGTTTTGGTGACCAACTTACCCTGTCGAGCTGAAAGGCTGCACTGGAGCTCGATATTGTCCCAAATGACATGCCCTGGCACCCCCCTCTTCCCTCCTCTCCAAACTGAAGCAAATTGGGCATCAGAAAAAGCATTAAGTGTGAGTTCTATTGGCGGTGTGAGGGTCAGAATGTCCCACTGATGGGATAACATTATGACTGATCATCATCATTATTTTAGGGTGTGATTGGTGATTTGTACTGCAGCGAGGTGCAGCTCCAGGCTGTCAGCTCTGACAGCAGCAGAGCCCCTGAGCACCGGGGAGGGGTCACCTCCAAACCCAAATGTTCTCCAGTAGAAACTTGAAGGTTCATCTGCTTTTCCCCAGAAAATCCCGGGGGATTGGATTGATGGTGTTGAGATAAAGGCTTTTGTGTGTAATGAGATGATCTGGCTGAGGCTGGGCCGGGCTGGGCTCTGTAACTGCAGGGCTGGTATTGGATCCTGGAGTTCTTTGTCAGATGACAATACAGGGATTACATTGCAAAGAGGCCTCATTGTCCTGCTCTGCTCCTTGAAATTACAATATTTACTCTGGCATATTGTCAGTTGTTCTCAAGCTCTGGTTCTCAGCTACTTTCACATAAAGAGCTTATTTGGAGAAGCCTTCCCACTTTACCCCTGCTGTGTGTGCAGTGTCTGTTCCACGAGTGAGCACCAAGGAGTAGGATCTGATCATGTTTGGAGAGCCCTGGATGCAGGAACTCGTGTTGGGGCTGTGGTGCCACCAGCACAGCCCCTGCAGCTGCACAGGCTCTGCCCTGGAGCAGCTTTGGGTGCTGTTATCAGAGGCAGATGTGGGCACTCAGTCAGAGACTGATGGCTGGAGCTGTGGCACCGTGGATGTGCTCACAGGCCTCTGGTTTGTGACGGTGCTGAATGCGCTGGAGATGGAGATGGATGAAGAGCAGATATTTTTCTGTCAGCACTTCACCAGCTGCTGAATTCCAACTTAGAATCACTGCCTGTTTGATACCGTGAGCATTCCACAATCTTTAAATTAAATCTCCTGTTAATGATGACTATCACCAGGTTCTCAGCAGCACTATTATGTGAGACCCTTTGGAAATGCGTTTAATCCTTCAGGAACTGCACCACTCTCTGAATTCCTCTCATGTGAGCACCGATGGAGTGAGATTTTGATGTCTGTCAGGTGAATTACACGCCATAAAAATTGTCCTAGCGATACTATTTATTCATCATAACTCATCCCCTCTGGTGTGTGATGATAACAATGAGTCCACAAAAACCAGCCGAAGGAGAGGCCTCGAGAAGGTGTAACATGAAAAGCGCTGTGCTGGCTGCTCTCCCGCACTGGGAGGTGCTGAGTGTCGCCTCTGTGGAGATGCAGAAAGTGTGACCAGGAGTTCTTAAACCTGCATTTCACTGCTGTCATCTGAAGGAGACGGGAGAAGAGGAATTCCCTCTCTCTGCGTTCTCACCCCTCCTGATTTGGGCCTCTCCTCCCCCTCTTTGTTGCAGTGTTTTTCTCTCGTGAAGATGCAGCAGGGCCTCGACTGCTCCATCTCTCAGGAATCAGGATGATGAGCACTTGAGACTCGAGTAGGAAGGGAGTTAAATTATTTGTCATCACCTTCAAATAGATCCTTTGGAAGCAGAAAATGCTCATGTCAATAAATTGCTGTTGTGTTTGATCCTTCTCCTGACATCCCAAGGTACTCCTGTCCAACCATGGCACAGAAGATCTCTTGAAATCACGTTGTGTGCAGGTGTCAGCTGCTTCACTGCTGAAGGAAATAATGGTGTTGTGTGGCTCCTGGAGATCTCCATGGTGAAAAAAGCCAAGAAAAAACAACCAGGAGCACGTAAGAAGAGCAGAAGATGGTGCAAATGGGGTTTATATTTACTCCTCAGGCTTTTGGTGTCTTCTGGAAGCACGGAGGGTCACGTCATCTCTTGCTGCACCCAACACCTGAGTTCATAAACTGGTTCTTCTCTTGCACCAAGTTTCACTCCCTGAGACCCCCACGGTGTCCTGACGTGTCTGTGCTGGGGTTTCACTCCTGCTCCTTTGCCAGGAGTCACCCACAGCACCACCCCTGCTGCTTTTATCTCTAGGAAGTTAATGGCTTTGGAGAGTTTCCTTCACTTCCAGGAATAATTAATAATTGAATTTCTATACTCCCATGCTTAAGCCTCTTCAGCTCAGCCTAAGAGGGCGAAAAGTTTCCCACAATGATGTTGAAGTTGGAATTAAAATTGTGCCCATCACTTTGTTTTGTCTGCCTGAAAATGGACTTTGGGCCAGTTTTGCTCACTAGTTACTACAGTGGTAGGTTGACATAAACTAGAGGGAACACTGCTCAGCCAGGCCCATTAATTTGGATATTTTGAATTATTTTCAGATAGTCTGAAGACTATTTGACATATGTAAAACATGGCATTTGCTTTGCAGGTCCTTTGGTAGTTCAGATTTGGGTTAAACTTGTAAGTACAACAAAATCTTTTTAAAAGGTAACTCAGCCTGTGTTTGGGTGACTGACAGCACATTCCCAATTGTATAAATTCATGCATGGTTTGGAGTGAGATTTATTGTGCACAATTTTTGGTGTTTAATGCTCAACTAAATGACTGTTTCAGCACAGGAAACTGTTGTTGTTCCTGGAAATTCCATTAACATTTTAAAATCTCTCTTATTTTCATCCTTGGACACTGTTACATTGCTCTTGGGTTTCTTTAAGTGGGTTTTGCTCAGGTTCCTCTCAGATATCTCACTGCTAAGGCTTTTCTTCCTGCTGTGTGTTTGGCCAGCTGTGCTTCTGGAACTTGCTCTGCCTTATCAGTGTTGTTTGTGTGCAGCATTTCAGTCCCAGCTCCACTTCCCCTGGCATCCACTCCTGGTGCATTGCTAATTTGGTTACAGAGCTGGGCTGAAACCACTTAAAAGCATTTTCCTTGACAGGGCTTGAAAATTTGGTAAGTTCTGTAATCAGTGAGAGGGGAGTGAAATAATGAAAAGGACTTGTGGAACTTCACAGTCTGGAAACTTGCTTTTTCTTGAATTATTTGCAGGATTCCGGTGTTTCCAGTGTAGCTGATTTAAATCTGAGGGCTTTTGGTAAAGGGTCTTTCAACCACTGTCATGGAATCCCAGAGTGGTTTGGGTTGGAAGGGACCTTAAAAACATCCACTCCCACCCCCTGCCATGGGCAGGGACACCTTCCACTAGCACAGGTCCAGCCTGGCCTTGGACACTCCCAGGGATGGGGCAGCCACAGCTTCTCTGGGCAAACCTGTGCCAGGGCCTGGCCACCCTCACAGGGAAGGATTTCTTCCTAATATTTA